AGTATGATAAAAATGTTTGACATCGCGAACTTTTAGTGCCATTTTGGGTATGGTCATAGCGCAAATGGGAAAAAGGATAAAAATTCTGGAGACAGTGAGGAAAAAGAGGGAAAAGGGGAAAATCCTTGGATTCCGGTAGAATGGGCTTAACAGAGTTTTATGGTAATGCGGCGTATATTTCTACATTTTCTTTCGCGGTAGCAAAGGAAATCCGTGAAGCGGCGGAAAAGTTATTTTGATGTGTGCACTTCCGGGCTCGGCTTTGCTTTCTTGCCCGGAGAGGGGTCTCGTACTTAACGTCGGCTTCCACAATAATTCCGCCTTCCGTCTTCCGTCTGACGGATCTCGGAGTTTTCTCGTTAAATGGAAAAAGGGAGCTAAACGAGCCGGTTCCACCGCGAACATTAGCGTGGTTCATTAACACGATTGTAAACGACCTGCCCCAACTCTACAACGTCATTAGCATACTTACAATCGAAGATCGCACCACGTTCATGCCGGAAACCATGGAGCGAGTTCATGTTATCATCTTTACTTCCAACCAAGTTACGTTTTCCGTCTGCAATCGTGAACCGCAAAATTTTCAGATTTAACAAGTACTAATGATTTTTATATCTTGATTATACAAATTATTTTTTTCATTATTCTACATTTTTAAACGATAAAAATGTTAATTAAATATTCATTTTTCTTAAATTTGTTTGTTAATAATTCTAATTTTTTTTTTTACTAAATTTTCTTTAATTTAATTTTTTACGTATTTTATATGGAGTATATATAAAAATAGAAATGTTATATTAAAAATACATTACATGCTTTATTTGACACAGTTATAAGTGTTAAATTAAAATTGTAATGATTGATTTTAGTCCTCTTCTAAAAAAAGCTGAACACGGTGCACCAATTACGAGCAACAACAAATACGATTTATTGTTCGGCGTGACAACGAGTGAAGCTTTATGGAAATTTGCGGAAAAAGATGTTTTGCAAGGTTTCGAGGGAGAAAGAAGAGATAGAATCATCCGCACATATGTGAGAAACGCCTACGTGTATCATCTCACTGAAATATTTTATACGGTAAATCAGTTTTTATATTTGTAGTTTTTATATTTTATATTTAATTAATTAAATAACATAATATTTACATGTAATGAAATAGCTGCGCGATCATTAGTAATATTTATTTATATTAAATAAAATATTCCGTGATTTTAATTTTGACATTTTTGACAAATTTCACATTCTTTACAATTATCATAATAAGTAAATCAATTTAATTATTATATTATTTTGTTTTTAAAAATGTGCGAATGAAATCTTAATACTATATTTGTTCTTATTCTTAAATCTTTTATTCGATTATCTTTGCAATTATGAGTTTGAATATCTCTGACTTATATTTTGATTTCTTAAGATATCTAATCTGAAATTTATATTAAATAAAAACATTCAATATTTTTTATTAAATCTAAAGAACTATATCTAAAAAAGATCTAACCTTGAACCTACTTTCCTAGAATTACTTTCCTAGAATTATTTTTCGATAAAAAAATCTTCGGAAATAGGAAGCTCGCAATCTACAAAGTGTAAGGATGAATTATATTTATTGCCAACGGTATGTGACATGCCGCGCATATTTGCGGCGCGTATATCGTTGCATTCGCGCGAAATTTATCGCAGAACGTAATTGTTACGTTCCACATAACAATTGAATCGCGAACATTGCGTTTTGTCGAAATACACCGATGATGCAATTCCATTTGCCCGGTGCGTTATCGGTCCGTAGCAAGAGAGCGAAACTCTGGCCAAACATTACTTAATGATTATAGCCAATTAAATGATTATAACTATGACAATATATTTTTTACGAGCACCAATAGAGGGTACAAGGCGTAGTTAAATGCGTTGCTGATTTACATCCATAAGGGAAGACAAGCTCGGTGTTATACGTAGAACACTGCAAGATTTTTAATTTTGAAATTTATTTAGTACTTAATTGTGCGTATGCAAAAAGTTGTATTGTAAAGAAATAATTATATTCAAATTAAATTATTTAAATTCAAATTAAAAATTTAGTCTATTTTTATCGGTGTATGTAGTATGTATGTTTATAAAACGCCTTGAAAAATTCGTTTTTAACATATAATAAAAAGATAATCGTTCCAATGAAAATCGTTCAACGTTCACTCCTGATTTTTCAACAACTTCTCGCTACATTTAAACGATATAAATGATAGATTTGAAATTTTTCTTTTGTACATAGGTGGTGAACGAATACACAGACTGGGAGCGAACGGTTCAGCATCCCGTCAACACGAAGGATGCGTGTGTACAGGCGTTGAGCGACGCACAGTTTGTGGCGCCGCTCGTACAAACCGGGGATCTCTTCACCCTGAGACACACGAAGAAACCGAACAACCCTCACATTGCACCGATTCTCGACAGCGAGGAGGAACCCATGCCCAAGACTTACTTTTATGTGTTCGACTATCAGATGAAGGACGGCGATTATCCTCAGGTAAGCGAACAACAAATAAAAAAACAATACCGAAGTTTCAAAAATCCACTGAGTTAAGTTAATTCATACAAGTATTTATATTAAATAAAAATTGTTTTTACGAACTGCGTTATTCGGAATTAATCAATTTTCCGATAATACCGTTCTACGGACTTATTTTTGTTTTGTATCCTTCAATCGCGATTCATTAAAATAGTAATCAAACTTATCATTCCTGCGGGTGTTTAGCTCCATTAATTGCAATCCATTGCAAGAATGCAAGTTTAGCAAAGGCAATTATTCGTTTGTCGATGGCGCGGGATTCTCATGTAACCGCGCGATGATTGTTTTCCTTCTGTCTCTCTAGCATCGTACGTTCGCCATTGCTGGTTCAAATTATCAACGTGTTTACGTTCAATTATGCACAGATTACGTTATATGCACGGTGTTACATTATTGTTCTCTATCGCGATGTGCTCCGATACGACGTCTGTCCACTATCAGTATGGTTGCAGGCTCTTTCCGACAAAAGTGCGAGTACACATACGTACTAGATTAAAAATTCATGAAATATCTCGTAAATTAATGTAGTCTCCGACTTTTATAAATTATTATTTCTTAAGATACGAAACCACTTTGAATTCTAATTTTGATCGCGTTCAATTACACATTTTTATTGTTAAACGATTAAATTCTTTTGCATAATAACAGAAATAAAAAAATTTATATATAT